TATACATACAAACATATCGAAATATATTGTCTAGTGTATAACATTTAAATACATTAAAATATTAGTTATGGTATACTGATAATACACACGCATCATTTCGTGTAATGTTTATGACGTAAGATATGTTTAAATTCATTAAAGAGGTATGAGGTATGTTTCAATGACACACACTGTATGTGCCACTTTTACTGCAGGCGACATCCGCCGAGAAAGTTTGTTAAGGGGGTGTTTCCTTGTAGTAGCTGTACATAAGGAAACGGCATTAGGTTTAAAAAGGAAGAACTGTATGATTGAAAATAGTTGGAAATGTTTAAAAACTCTATACAAAGAGGCTTTAAGTATCTTTGAATACTATATATGACATGTACGTTAATTTAACAATTATTTGATATGTACATCTGTACAGAGCCGCAATAATCCCGTCGGTGGAGAATAGGACTAAAAGTAACTCAGATGAACTGTGTAGTTTGATTCCTTCTTCGGATGGTTTTCAAATGACATCACGGATCATCATGAACCAATGACGATAAGCGTGGGTAGAAAATTGGAACGCAGCAACCAGACCAGGATTCATACTCATGACGGACGCTCTCACCTCGAGTCGGTCTAACCCTAATGTATTCACATGCACAAACTAAAGCCGTGAAAGACAAAACTGCATCCAAAAGACCATGATTCATACTCGGGATGGACGTTCTCACCTCGAATCGGTCCACCTCTGCTGTATTCACATGTACCATCGAGTAGGTCCGCCTCTGCTGTATTCACATGTACAATCGAGTCGGTCCACCTCTGTTGTATTCACATGTACAATCGAATCGGTCAACCTCTGCTATATTCACATGTACTATCGAGTCGGTCCGCCTCTGCTGTATTCACATGTACAATCGAGTCGGTCCACCTCTGCTGTATTCACATGTACAATCGAGTCGGTCAACCTCTGCTGTATTCACATGTACAATCGAGTCGGTTCGTCTCTGCTGTATTCACATGTACAATCGAGTCGGTTCGTCTCTGCTGTATTCACATGTACAATCGAGTCGGTCCACCTCTGCTGTATTCACATGTACAATCGAGTCGGTCCGCCTCTGCTGTATTCACATGTACAATCGAGTCGGTCCGCCTCTGTTGTATTCACATGTACAATCGAGTCGGTCCACCTCTGTTGTATTCACATGTACAATCGAGTCGGTCCGCCTCTGCTGTATTCACATGTACAATCGAGTCGGTCCGCCTCTGCTGTATTCACATGTACAATCGAGTCGGTCCGCCTCAGCTGTATTCACATGGACAATCGAGTCGGTCAACCTCTGTTGTATTCACATGGACAATCGAGTCTGTCAACCTCTGTTGTATTCACATGTACAATCGAGTCGGTCAACCTCTGTTGTATTCACATGTACAATCGAGTCGGTCAACCTCTGCTGTATTCACATGTACAATCGAGTCGGTCAACCTCTGTTGTATTCACATGTACAATCGAGTCGGTCCGCCTCTGCTGTATTCACATGTACAATCGAGTCGGTCCGCCTCTGCTGTATTCACATGTACAATCGAGTCGGTCCGCCTCTGCTGTATTCACATGTACAATCGAGTCGGTCCGCCTCTGCTGTATTCACATGGACAAAGCTAATGCCGTGAGAGACAGATTATCCTTTTTGTTATTTTCTTGTTTTTGATAACGATTCTGTTACCAAAAACAACACAATTTAACATATTCTTCTAATCCTCATTTCTATAGTTGAATTCTTTGTCTTATTTAAGTGTTTTATTTTGGAGAATGTTTTTAATTGTTTGCTTACTTTATATATCAAATGAAGATGTATGTCTGACTGTACCCCATTTGTTTACAAATAATCATACCATTTTATGTACTTTAAACGGTATTTTACACGTGTAGGTCAAAATGTACATCTGTTTTCAAACCATGTAAGTTGTATTCAGTTCTCATCTAGAAATCCAACGGCGACATATTTTAACGCTACCTGGAGCGACATCGCTTTAAGGATTACAAAAATAAAACGTACAGAAGGGTATATATATACATACTTACAAATAAGTACACGTATATCGTGAAGATATCGGTTAACAATCGTTTAAAAACATCTCGTGTCTGTTCATGCGTATCTGTACTTGTCGTCACACCAATTGTATACATTCAGTAGAGTATCTTTGACCTGTTTGTGCAGAGCAGAATGAATAGAAATTCTTGTCATCAACGCCATTATACCAGATTCATTAGCAAACCTTTGACCTATTTGTAGGAATCTGGATTTGCTGGTCTAGATGTTATCCAGTGTTCATACCTGGCATAACTCATTCTTTTGACACAATATTTAAGCGACAAGCAACAAAACATATATCTTTGTTTGGTTCTAGTCATTGTCCTATCTTTAAATAAACCAGGTAAAGATATATCTAGTCCTGCCATGAATGTACCTACTGTCTAAACGAGTTCCAAATGAAGAGATCTGTAAAACACGTTTTATGAATCGTGATTTGTTACTAGATAAAGAAACAGGAGCTCTGTTGATATATATACAATCATATATGTAGTCTGTAACTTAGAGAAGTTAATTCAGTAATAAGGGGTGATAACTCCGACGTAAGCTAAACCTTTTAAAACTATCAAGACTGTGCTCCGCAATTTGCTAAGTAAGAGGCTCATAGGGGCCTGTATCGCTCACCTGATTTAGTTTACTGAAATTAATTAATCAAAACTAAAGGAAAAGTAGTTAAAATACAGGGGGTTAGATGGACTGCCTATACAACATGAGTTTCCTTCCCAGCAGACGAAGGATTTTAAAGAATATGCCCTATTTCCACTATTGGGCCCCACAACTCCCAACCATGGGGTCAAGACCCAAAAACATACAAAACCTCCACCCAAGCATGCCTCAGATCCAATCACAGATTTCTTAATCACACAAGATCATTGTGGAAAGGAGGGTCATTCTTACCCCAGTACAGGCAGATGTAAAGTTAACTAATAACTAAGTAAAATTAAACGTTTATGAAGACAACTTTATTTCATTGCTGTAAAATAGAGGAAACAAATTCACCAGTATATTAGTTAAAAACGATACAATTTGTCAAACCGTCAACACGTTACCAGCCATGTTGAAAACATAATTAGTTAATTAAGAAACCGGAAATACAAAGAAAGAATAACCCTGTGATATGTTGTCGGAAACCGTTTTACGACAATCTTCAGTCCCAGGTGGAAAAAGTGTTATCATTCCATCTGGGACCGAGGATGGGTCACAGTGTTATTATGCAATGACTTATGATATAACTTTTTTACAACATGACTACCCTGTTGTCACTGTATCAATGCCTATTACATCTTTTGTTATGACACATAATACTGTAATATGATATAGCGGAACTGTGATTGGCTAAAAACTTCCATAGTTTCACGACACCATGACGTCACCAAAGAGTGACGTATTTTGTAACGATCTTATAAAATGCTGATTTCACGAATGCTTGTAAGCGTGTCTAAGTTGACCATTTGTTTAGGTGTATTATAGATATATAACTGTCCCTATGTATGACTTTTAAATGTTTGCTATGATTCACTAAAGAGTGCTGAACCAGATATGGTTAAATGTTTTTCCCTTTAATTTTTCCTATTGTGAGGGTCCTCTCATCAAATATCGGCGGTGACGAGAAAAAAGAAGGTTGTTCTGAAAATGTCAGAGTGTCGAGACCATCTGACATTAACAACAAATAAGAATAAAGTTTTAGGGAGTTGAAAGATCAAAAGACATCGAAAACCAATCACAAAAATGCTTTGGAAAAGTCGAGATACCACTGAAACTGGCAACCAATAAGAATAACGCTATCAGAAATCATCCAATCAGAAAAGTCCTTTCAGGGCGCCAATTGACAAACAATAAGAACAACGATATCAGGAGTCATCCAATCAAAAAAGTCCTTTCAAGGCGCCAATTGACAATCAATAAGAAAGCTCTTGATAAATACAAGTAAAAAAGTAAACAATGTACACGTATGTTATAATCTAAAAAGCGACTACATCATATATATACAAAATGTAGATTATACAGATATACTGTCCGTACTTATAGAGTGGTTACATTCCAAAAAATCTATTTATAGCGACATTTTATTACAAGTAAACTTAAAATTATACTAGTATTAGTTTAATACTGTACACTACAACAATCAGAATAAGGCTGTTGCATTTAAATGTAAACTATTCTAAACATGTGTCTATAGTGAGGAATACATACACATATTACGATATGACATGTTTTAAAGAAGAAATTCAAACGAAGCAAGATTGATAATAATATTCTGTTTCACACTAACACAATCATTACGATTTCTCAAAAAGAAAAATTTTGATTCCGTTTAATCAAATAATTAGCCCACCATAATCTTTCCAGTCACGGTCTGGACGTCTTTATCACAACCCTTCAACCTCTGGGTCGCGGGTTCGAGGTCTACCTGGGACAGTCGCCCGTTACTGTCGGTGTTTTTTTTCTCCTGGAATTCCAGCTTTCCTCCACCACCTAATCCTGACTCTTTAAATGACCATGGCTGTTAATAGGACGTGAACCAACAATATCTAAACATATGTCCCTTTCCTACTCTTCATTTTCATTGACTTGAACAGTTTTTTTACTCTGATCAATTATCATCATCTCTTCTAGCCAATCACAAGCGACGTTACAAACGACTACACCGTGTTTTCATTGCTTAACCATATCACGTGACGTTAAAGGGTTAATCATGTGACACTGGTGGCATTAGCTCCGCGTCACTAAAATGTTTGATGTTGGTACGTTCTAATTGATAATCCGAATAACCTGTGGATGATCAGTATCAAACTTATGTTTAATTTCACAGTGGTTTTAGTGATATTCGATAGTTGTGGTTTCATGGTGTATACATTGTGACGTCACAGTATGACGTAGTAAGATAATGAAATGATCATATAAAAATCCATTCAATAAAGATAATTATGTGATTTCATACATGTCATATTGCACATTTCAAACATATAGAACTGCTCCGGACTATTCACACCACAAACTTAGACATTTCAGTAAACACCATAATTAGACTGGAAGTGACATCATTTCAACATGTGTGTTTGTGACTTAAAAAGCCGACAACAATAAAGACAACATAAAAAAAGACAGCACCATTCTAATGTTTGATTAAGGGACCAAATCTCCATAATGATTTAAAGCCAAACTCACATAAATTTTGAATTCGAGCGATTCATGTAGATCCAGTGTGTCCGCTCAGTTCAGACCTAGAAATGTCTTTTGTTTCTTTTTTCACACAACAGAAACAGCAAAGTCTCCTTAATGCTCTCAGGGCCATTTCTTTAAACTCTGTATTAAGGAACCCGTAGATGACGGGGTTACTGGCGCTGCTGATCAAAAACGACCTCAGGAAAAGCTGAAACGCTACCATGGCGGATTCGGAGAGCAAATTAGGTTCGTAATCGCTCGCCAAAGTTCGCCAGGTCACGAGGCTCAAGTAAGGGAGGAAACTCAGTACGAATGCGATGCTGATCGATAATGTAATGATAGTATATCTCTTCGTGTTTATATTCTGTGCTGTTAGTTTCTTGTCTTTCACAGAACCAGAAGATGAATTAATCTTCTTTGATGTAACCGCTCCACCAGCACTGCCTGTTGTGTCAGACGAAGGTGAAGAGGCTGTATCAAAACTGATCTTCGTTTCCACTCGTTTTCTTTCGATTTCTTCCGGAGTGGAGATGTCATCAAATTCAACAGCGCCGTCATTTTCCGTAACTTTTCGCTTTATATCGGATTCAAGGTCTGTTGGTGAAAGAGACAGTGGTCTGTTGGGGGCAAACTTATCTCCCTTGCTGTTATCTTTGTTTGGAGATGGAAGGCTGATGGACATCGTCATGGCCTCACTTTTGTTTGATTTTACTGGAGAGAGTGAACTTCTCTTGGTAGAGTAAAATCGAAAGTTTTTTAATTGAAACAATTGTCTACCAACAAGGCTATAAAGAACGACGAGAACAATGATTGAAATAATGAAAATCGGAAATAAAATAAGGTTGTATATTGTAATGTAGCTTTTGAAATCGTCATCCCGTCTTGTGGTGCAGTCGAACCCCACAAGTTCGGGGTCTTCAGTTACATTTACACGGACCACAGTGTAGAATACCAAACTCGGCCAAGATGTCAGTAAAGAAAACATGACCACAAGAACTATTATGACTTTTGCAAGTTTGATACTGATTTGTTTGTCAAAAGGCTTACAAATTTTACGATACCTGTCCACAGCAATGGCTATCAGGGTTGCGCCGGAAGCAATACTCGCAAAGTAATTTATAAAGCGGAGTGTGCGGCAAGCTTCCGGACTGTCAAATGTATAAAAATGGCAAAGTTCATAAATCTCAAACGGCATTGATATAGTACACGAAATCATATCAAAGATAGCAAGAGTGACGATGAACATGTACGATGGCGTTGTCTTTGTCCGACATCCGTAAAAATAGATGACCAACGGATTTCCTATAAAACCAATAAACATCAGGCAGGCGATGATTATAATGACCGGAAGTAATGCTCTTGTGACGTCATCGTTTAGAGCGACAAGCTTCTCGTCGAGACTCATGTTGAGAACTGCCATCTATTCCGTTTCCCTGCACTTGTTAAATTTTCTCAAATTTGTCGATTCTGAAGTAGTTACGTCTTCAGTAATGACGTCATTGGTCATCAGACCGTGACCAGGCCCACTTTAAACTGCCACCTGAAATGATAAAATATCGATCTAAACAAACAAAAATATCGGGGTGATTCAACATACACGTAGTTGGTTTGAGCACTGTGTATAACAAACTTTCTTTAGGCCTGTATGTTTGTGTCTTTAGATCGAGCAATATTTTGACACATATTTCTTGCTCTGTATCAAAATAATGTACACCCGTATCGCTCCGAAACGAAACACTAATAATGTGATAATAATAAAAATATTCCAAACATTATATATGAATTTACACTAGCCCGCCGCCATCTCATTACCGCACTATTGGACGGTCCCTGTAACTAAAAACACCTTTATTCTCTTGTTATGACAGCTGTTTTTACTAAGAAAGATGAACGGCGGTATAGATATATGGTTGTGAACAATGGTGAAGCGTGCATATTGAAATTTCAATTTATTTCAGAGTAATTTTATGCAAGGATCTTAACACAAAGGGAATTGGGCAACAGGCAAAGCCTATGAAAGCCCGCGCCTTCGTGATGTCCAGCTAAATGAAGAAATATTCGGAGGATGAAAAAAGATGGTGGTTCTGATTCACAATATCCTCGTTGAGTTTGGTGACAAGATCTTCCCAAAGACTATCGGCATAACTATAGGAACTGAGTCTGTCCCTCTGTTGACTGACATATTTTTGTTTTCATACAAGGCTGAATTTATCTATTATTATCAAAGCAGGTGACAATGACCTTGAAAAGTTGTTTAATTTCTTTTTCAGTAATATCTTTGTCTTTAAATAACAAGAAATTTATTGACCACGTCCATTGTGTATACCCACCAGACTATGAAATCAAAGACACGACAGACTCTTCCACGTTAGCCGTTTGTCTCGATCTTTTGCTACAACGAAACCAAAATGGACAGCTTTCCACTAAGCTGTATGATAAACCTGATGATTTCAATTTCCCTATTTAGATAGTGTATAGCAACATACCTGTATCCTCAACATATGGTGTTTACATGTCCCAATTAAATCGGCATTCAAGGGCACGTACCCATTATCACGATTTTCATGCAAGAAGTCGTCAACGGACGGACAAACTCGAAATACAGAGGTTCAAAATGTGCAGGTTGACGAAAGGAAGTTTTACGGGTCGTTATGGTGATCTCATAGAGAAATATTTTTTTTGCGTGTGTGATATGAAGTTGTACGTGTTTTATACTTATCATTTTACCTGTTGGGTCATTTCTCGCTTACCTGGTTTTTATATGAGAACGTATTGTGTTATTGCTTCTTCTTGCAAATTCCTCATAAGATTGGTTTAATGAGATTTGTAATTATAACGATTATGATTAAATTCAGAAAGCACTTTATTGTTAAAACATTTTCCAATGTACTATATTTACATAAAAAAAGAGAAGTAAGTGGAGTTAGCCTACCTCTAACTTCCAACAGATCAGTGCCTAATTGATAAACTAACACTCTGACAGAGGGCTGTATCTACACCATGTAGTTCTCGCGCTTGTGGATTTTGTGATATCCCCGAGTTCCCCAGATAGAGTACGCGGATTCTAAATTGAAGAATAAATTACTGTAATTATATTAATATCTTTCTTTCCTCGAGGATACGGATTTAACCGAGTCGGGATAAAAGGGTCAGAACTCATATCTCGGCCAATTTAATTTGTCTTCCAAGATATTCCCTCCGGACATATGTTTAAAAGTGTAGAGATAACACTGTTTATGATTGGCCATCAATGAAATTCTGGCTAATTTTATGCAGTTGAAGGTTTGGAAAACAGTACGATTTGATTATCCGTAATATTGATTTTTTTCTCGGGGAAAAAGGAGATATTCATGGGAATTTTTTTATGAGTCAGATATTTTCAATGACTAAATGCAGGCATTTTTCTGTCGCTCTCGGCTGCAAATGAGTATTCCAAAATACATTTCGATGGAATAATTTTGGAGAAGAATATTGCACTTTAACAATTTCAGATGACCCACCGATATAGAAGACAGCGGTAAATGACCTTTGACCGTGTTTTTTTAGGGTACATTTTGTGGTTCCAATCATATAAGTGCATTTTTGCATGGCCCCTTGCTTACAAATGTATATTACAAAATGTTATTTCAGTGGTATTCTTTTGAAAGAAAATTGCATTTTAATCATTGTTGGTTACCAGCGAACATAAAGCATAAAGTGAAATGACATTTTTGTATAGCTCTTGATCTGACATTGTTAATTAAAGAGTTTCATTTCAGTAGAATTTTGATGGATGGTCACTGTGATTATCCTTTTGTTGACATTGTTCTCACTTGAGAACGTGACATTATTTACTTAATTGACGGACATTTACGTGGCGGGTGTTGTCAATGAAACGGATCTTGTGGTTTAATCCTCTGGGGGTAATTTTGTGTGACTTTTGGCACGTCAATGTATATTAAAAAAAGTTTTATTCTAATAGACAAATTTTCGGGAGAAATATTTCATTTTTTTCCATCGAAAATCCATATCCATTCTAAAGTTTAATTTCCATGTGATTTTTTGAAGACCCACCATGTATATTCTACATTTATCCTCTATAACTATATAACTATATCACACCATGTCGGTTATATCCTTAATACAAATTACAGGTGACATTGGTTAGCATGTATCCATATCAATGTTATAAAAGTGAGTGCCACAGGTATGTGACTGACGCATAAAATAGATGTAGGATTAATTTTTTGCTCTTGTCAAACACAATTGTACTTTTATATACACGTATACAATGTCACTACCACTGAAGACAATTAAATGTTCGCACGAGATAAAGTAATTAATCATCATGTTTGTTTTATATATGTATATATATATATATGTCTGAAGTTAATAACATTTACGTCAGAAAACACATTATGTTGTAATATGTGTATTGACTAATGAAATAACCGGGCTGAGTATAGTTAGCTTTACGTCTCGTTCAAACTTTATTTTAAACCCCTAATTAAAATGATTTTTTCAAATTAATCAGATTAAAAGTAAAACAGTATTATAACACAAGAGCAATGGACGTAGAGAGAATGTTATCTTAGAAATGAAATAGATTTGTATGGTTTAATGTGAGTGAAGTCAACCACATACACATTTGATATAATGGTCAGGTTTAATCGCTAAACGAGCTGTACTCATTTCTATGCTATGTTATTAATGTTTTCTTTCGGTTTTAATCATAGATTTTGTAACGATTCGTATGTTTTTTTTCTCTCTTTTTAAGGGGTTTATAAATAAAGGACTTCGTCCAGATACTAAGGGGTCTATAGATAAAGGACTTTATCCAGATTCTAAGGGGTCTATAGATAAAGGACTTTATCCAGATTCTAAGGGGTCTGTAGATAGAAGACTTTACCCATATTCTAAAACAATCAGATTAAATTCTGGTATTGAACGACAACCAAAAGTTTTTTTCTCAAAGAATTGCTTTTCTATTCAAATTATTTAAATAGATTCAATAACCGTTGAAAGTTTAAAATTCCGTACTTGAATAGGGATTGTAAGTTACACGTGTACTAGGACAGCCTTGATACTACATCATTTTAAGGGATCTGAGACTAAGTGTGTAACTATTAAGCAATTGTGATTACAACACTTTAACAACAAAAGTATGACAGTTTCCGCCATATGTTGAAACGGAGTGAAAACCGAGCTTCGCATCTCATTGAGATGTATTAGGTTTTGTTGTCACTTACACAATCTACTTCATGGCAAGGATGGGCAGACTGCAGTCGTCCATTACTATCACATTTATTGTAATTTTATCAATGGAATGCAATGATGCATATAAAAAAGTGCATCAGCCAATCAAATTCAAATATGTTGATGGTGTCATAGACAGGTACCAGATGTGTCGGAACAACACGGAACTCCCTGGCGACAAATAATAACAAATACTTTTTAATATTAAACACTTACTAACAGGTGTCCTCAAGACTTTTCTAACAGTGTTACCATTGGTATTGGTTAACCAAAGCTGGTAAAATACAGTTAGTCAATGACTTACGGTAAGCAAAACAACTACATATCAAATGTCAATTCCAAATTCCTATTCAACACTAAGAAAAAAAAAATAGTTTTAACTGAAACGTTCTTGAAATTATCTAAGTTCAAGGCCCATAATTCTAGAAAAAATTAATCGACCGGAACTAGATACAAACTTAAGCTACATCTTATCATAATGCATCTCCACATAAATTTCTTGAAATGTTGTTAAAGGGCCATCACTCTAGAAAAATAAATTGACTGAAACCAAATTAATACTTGATATGTCTCGTGTTTCAACAACATGATGAATGTCAGTACTATATAGCCTTCCAGTAAAGTGAGAATGAGACCAGACGATGACAGAACAGTAAAGAGAGAATGAGACCAGACGATGACGGAACAGTAAAGAGAGAATGAGACCAGACGATGACGGAACAGTAAAGTGAGAATGAGACCCGACGATGACGGAACAGTAAAGAGAGAATGAGACAATACAGACGATGACGGATGACAATAGTAAAGAGAGAATGAGACCAGACGATGACGGAACAGTAAAGTGAGAATGAGACCAGACGATGACGGAACAGTAAAGAGAGAATGAGACCAGACGATGACGGAACAGTAAAGAGAGAATGAGACCAGACGATGACGGAACAGTAAAGTGAGAATGCGACCAAACGATGACGGAACAGTAAAGAGAGAATGAGACCAGACGATGACGGAACAGTAAAGTGAGAATGAGACCAGACGATGACGGAAAAGTAAAGAGAGAATGAGACCAGACGATGACGGAACAGTAAAGAGAGAATGAGACCAGGCGATGACGGAATAGTAAAGTGAGAATGAGACCAGACGATGACGGAACAGTAAAGTGAGAATGAGACCAGGCGATGACGGAATAGTAAAGTGAGAATGACACCAGACGATGACGGAATAGTAAAGTGAGAATGAGACCAGACGATGACAGAATGAGAATCAGGGACTATAATCGATATACGTCACGGTTGTTTTATGTCAGGC